GTTGATAGATCTTATAATTGCTGATGATTTACCAGCTGTGCTAAACCTCCGGGTGGATTTGCTGGGTAGTTGGTTTTTTTTATAGGCCAGTTCTGCTTCAGATGGTGCTTTCATTGCATAGAATTTGTATTCTATACTATAGGGCAGGCATGTAGCCGGGGGGGGGGGGGGGGGGTTGAGGGGCTTCAGCCCCCCCCCCCAATTCTCTGGGTGGTCCGCGAGAAAGGCCTTACCTGTGCATTATTTAAACTGTTATGTTTATTCATATCATGATCTGATCACCATACTCAATATATCCCATATGCATGGGGGTATTGGGGTAACGATACAAAAGGTTTGCTAGCGTAGACCCTCTTTCACTCAGACTCAGCCCCCCCCCCCCCGAATCGAAATCCTGGCTATGGGCCTGCTATAGGGTTCATGTTTTGTTCCATAGTATCTGTACAACATTCTTCCAGCTCCACATTTTAAATGAGTAGATTCACTTTTTTCAGCTTTCTTCACTTTCTAGCTTTAACAACTATACATAGAAATAGATGACATGAACTATCCCAACTTTTGATGTGCAATCATTGTATTCCACCTTCAGAGAGAATGTTTTATAGTTTCTTCATAGTTGCCCTTGATTTATAGTTGCCCTTCATAGTTGCCCTTGATGGCAGTGTCCATTCAGATTTCTGACTGAGCCAAGGTATGGAAAATCTTGATTTTAGTTGCACAGGATTCTTTTTCAAAATCCATATATTTTTATGAGGCTATCAAAATTGCTTTGATCTGCAGAGGAGGCCCTTTTCCCTGTCTCACAACCTTCACTGATACACCTAGTGGGAACATGGGGAGGGCCTTCTTAGTAACAACCCCAAGCTGTGGAATTCCTTTCCCAGAGAGGTTAGACTTGGTAACCTCCCTGCTTTGGAGTCTCCTGTTTTGGAGGTGTTTAAAGCAGAGGCTGGATGGCCCTCTGTCAAGAGCACTTTGATTGTGTTTTCCTGTATGGCAGGAGGTTGGACTGGATAGCCCCTATGGTCTCATCCAAGGCTATAATTCCATGATTATACTTTATTTTTGCAGACCAGAAAGTGGAATCATTATGCAGATTCCATGGACTGCTGTTTTGACAAATCTATCTAACCTATTCAATGTACTTGATATTTATATTTGTTGTGTTACAGTGTGTATGTGTTGTGTATAATAGTTTATGTTTACATTTATATATCTATATATCTATATATTGTTTACCCTCCTTTTAACTTGTGTATTTTGTGAACTTTTAACTATGCTATTAACCTGCTATGAACCACTTTGAGTTCTCAATTAGGAAAAATGTAGCATATAAATAAATGAATGATGATGTCTGAGTTCACAAAGCTTGTATCAGAATTAGGCTGGCTGTGACTTTGACTACTACCCACAACCCATGGATTACAACACAGGGCTGTCTTATTTTGTATATAATTTCTTTAGGGAAAATAGATTCTGGGCTATGTCTGTTATAGCAGATAGAAAAAGAGAAAAGCACGAGGAGGTACAGACTAGGGGAATATGACTCTCACAGTTTACTGATCCATTAAGTATGCTATCAAATGACAGGAAAGAAAAAAGGAACTGCCTGAAATTTCCTCCTGAAAAATGCCTTTGCTTTTTTATTAGTCTGGATTTTTTCTTTTCTAGGAAAGGCTATAATTAAGGCTGAGATTTAATGCCTATTTTTTTCAGCTTCTCATAACTCTCACAAACTAGTTTCTTATCACAAACTCTTAAAAGGTTGTGGTTGGTTGTTTTTATATGCTTTTAAATTGCAAAATTATCTTCTCTGCCTTTATTATAATCCAAGACAGACTGGAACAGAGGTTCCATAAGCCAAATTCAGCCTTGCTGTTAAAAAGAAAAAAGAAACAGAAAAAAGGGCAATTTGACCATTTTTGCACTATTACGACAGAAGACTCAGATATAATTCTTTGTGCTTCCTATTTCATATAATTGCAGTAAAATATCATTTTTTCCAGCTACATAATTATAACACTATCATTTCACGTTAACTGCCATGGCTGGATCCTATAGAATTTGTTGTTTGATCTGAGCCACTGCAGCTCTCGGGATGAGAATTCTAAGTGCTTCACCCTGAACTGCAAATCCCAGGATTCTACAGGATAGAGACATGGCAGTTTCAGTGAAATCATGGTGCTATACTCCCATAATGTGAAATAACCCCTAGTCCAACACTCTAGCTACTAGGCCACATTGACTCCCAAGTATTTATTCATATGTGTTTACTGTTTGTTGTTGTTTTGTTTTATAGAAAGCAGAAGGCAAACCTAACATACGGTTTTCTTTGCAGAATTTGTTCAGAGGGGTTTTTTTTTTCTATTACAGTTTCCATGGGTTCTATATCCCAACGGGGATTTGATCCCTGATCTCTGAGAGCCCTTCCAGACAGGGCAGAAACCTGGGAAGAGTGGGTTATTTTAACCAACTTTCTCCCAGGCTTGTGTCCCCACCCCAATCCAAACCCTGGGCTTTCCTTCAGGGGTTGGCTAGATGTCATCCTGGGTCAATCAAAGGTTGACCTGGAATTGCATTCAGTCCTCCTCCAGAACCCCCATCCCCACCCCCAAATAAACACTGAAGGGCCTACTCAAACCTCCCCCGCCCCAGCCACCTCCACATCATTTTTGTGTGTCACGAGTACTCCCAAGAGCCCAAAGAACTGGGATGCCTGTGGGAACTGACCCCTGGGACTGTGGGAGCCATTTCCCACAGGGCCCTCACCTGAAAATATCAGGTCTTTAGCTTATAGTCCGTATCGTTCCAGGCATTTTATTAGTCTGGGAAATCCCAGTTTTCTCCAGATTTATTTCCATTTTACCTGAGGTGTCATTTGGACCCCTCAGGTAAAAGCAAGACAGGTCCCAACATTTGAGCCTGTCTGGAGGAGCCATCAGTATCCTAATTCAACAGTCAAATACTATACCACATTGATGCATGCATTCCCTACATTCCCCAGAGATGTGACTCAAGACATCTCACACTAATATAAATAAAATAACACCAAAAAAGACAAAGTAAATTTAAAACACACATAAAAATACATCAGTCAACAGAAGAGTAAAAGCAACCTACTTTTTTAAAAAAAATTCAACAGGAGCATAGCTTATGGTCCATAGGTCTGCCTGGATGAATAATATCCACTACATTGCCTTTATCCACAGCCTTTATTTTTAGCATTTCTTCTGGATTTGGGAGAAGGGATATCTCTTCTTTCACACCCTGAAATGGAAATGCAACTGGCTGCAGAAGGACAGAAGTTCCCCACCCCCGCTTGGCACAAGTACCCAGAAAGAACTTAAAGCAAATACAGTGATATTTCTTGAAGGATGAATCGAGATTCGAAAGACAAGTCAGTAGCTATATGACACATCTTCCAGTCTTCTTGTGCTGGTGGAAGAACCCCATGATGCCTTTTCAGTGGTATCCTTAAGCAGAAAAAAAGAACTCCCACTGAGATATTGCTTTCTGTAGCTGCTGCTATTGCAGGAACATGAAAGGTTCCTTCTGGTGGTCTGTATGGTAACAGTCAAAAATTATTTCAGTGCTTTGCCTCCTTCTCTATATCTTAACTACACTCCTATCTGGATAATGATAATTTTGATAGTAGCAGCAGCAGATAACTGTGTACAGACTGTGTGACTGCTTCCTTGAGAGGAAGCTATCCCTGCCAACAGGAACCAGCAGTATCAAAGAAGATACACCAAATGGATGGAGGTTAGTTTGGGACAGTTTGCCTCCCCAAAATATTTCTCCCTCCCTTCCTTGCACTCAGAAGTCAGCTTGTCATTTTAAACTTCTCCTCCTGTGAATTTTGAGAGTCATATTTACAGTCATCAGCAGCTAAATGTGACCCCAAAAACTTGCCTTTTCAGCCAGGCAGTGTTCCAACTGAAGGGTTTCCAAAGGCTTGCAGATTGGGCAGCCAGGAAATGATGCCTGCACACTAAAAAGTAGGTGTGTGTGTGTGTGTTAAAGCACACCACAATGAGGAAAGTGCTGCAGCTGTTGTTTCCTAATATCCTGATGTGTAATGCTTAGGAAATCCTTTGATTTGGATACTGCCTGGCTGAAAAGGTAGGTTTTTGGAGGTTGGGAAAACTCCTTAATAGGTTCACCTTAGTGTCACTCCTCTGCAAAATCTTGACCTGCATGATTTAATTTTACATACACACTTACACTTTTAGGCTCTGTATCAAGAAGCAAGCCCAAGATTTTCCTTGTCCTCAGCTTTTGCCATAGTTAACTTCTACCAATTCAGAGATGCCACCTTTTTAGTGTCTTTGGGGCTTCTTTTATCATTCACATTAATGGGATAATTTTCTTTAATGGTTTGCCTCTGTGTGAAAGAAAATGAAGTAAATGGAAATGCAACCGGTGGCAGGAGGAATAGCAGCAAGCAAGCAAGAAGATTTAAGAAACTGGCAACAATGAATTGACCCGGCTTTGGATTTTAATTGGCGTGTTTAATTAATTGCTTTTTAATTAACTGTTTTTAATAAACTGTTTTAATGTTTTAATTGTATTTGTTGAATGTTTATGTGAAAGCACCGATTGTGCTTGCTGTGAGGCCACCCTGAGTCCCCTTTCAGGGGTGAGGAGGATGGGTTATAAATGCAATAAATAAGGAAATAACCTTAATGCTTCTGAATACCTCCATGTGGAAATGTTGCTGGAAAATGGTACTGATATTCCTGAGAACTTTCCTTGTGTCATGGGAATTCTATTGAACCATGCCAGTGACTTTTCTCCTTTCCAGCATCATGCTGTTATGTCTCATTGTTTAAGATATGTGTTTTATAACTGCCCTTCACAGTTCAGTTTCTTCATATGCTTAGCTGCATAGGAAGAATAAGCAAAGGGTTAAAAATCCCTTCTCCATTCAGTTCTATGGCTCTGATGATGCATCACCAAAGATCTCCTCTCTAATTAGATTTTGTATATTCTGTTTCTAGCTGCAAATATTGGAAGTTCTCCAACAGGAACTAATGTTGGAGTCATTGGAGGTAAGAATATGTTATTCCTAGAAAGACCATGTTTTTTTAAAAAAATTGAAGAAACAAAATAAAACCATTTGAGAGAGCGGGGGGGGGGGGGATCATGCCTGGTCATCTTTTTGAAGGGAAAAAATAATAGTGTAGCATTACCAATCAAATTCTCTCTCTTCTTTCACATCTAAACACAAAAAATAAAGAGAGCTAAGAGTCTAGGAAAACTGATGAACTTCTCAGGTCCAATCGGAGAAGTCATTCATGAAGCTACTGTATCATAACAAAAAAGTGAGCATTTTCTTTGGCAATATGCAATACCACTGGAAAACCAGAAGAAAATGCATACTCCATATTGGTAATATGCCTCTATAAACTGTCACAGCATAGGGTTTCCTATTGCTACAAGTTATACATTTCCCAAAATTAAAAGGTTCAGCCCACGTTAGAGATGGGAATCCATAGTCTTTATACAAAGCAGTACACTGGGTTCCCTCAAAAATATTGTGGATTGTTTCAAAGAAAAATGGGGATCAAGAGGACAATTTCTTTTCTGACTCAATCTCAGTGTTCAGAAAGTAAGCCCACCATCATTCCTGACAGCTGTACTGAATCTCTCAAGCAGGGAAGTTACATTGGTCTCTTTTTCCCTTAAAAATTTATTGGCCTGTAGAGATCTACATTTTCAATAAGTGTGAAAAAATGAAATTTGTGAAAAGTTATCCTTCACAAAATATTCATCCCAAAGTCCCAAAATGTGAAAGATGTTACAGAGGTTCATAACCTTATAGATGTCTGTACATGTGTATATGTGAGGTTGGGATGCACATTCATATTAAAAAGAAGCTAGTTCAAGAATATTCTTTTCCATCCCAACAAGTCCATGTTAGGGAGAGCAGCATTTGTGCACAGAAGGAGGTCCATTATATTCCCTGCCATGCCAGTATAGTAACATACCATGATCAACATAGCCAAAACAATCAAGAGGATTTGGGGGAAACGTGCACACTCCTCCCTTTCTATTTCCCTGCTTGCCACTGCTCATGATAGCTGGTAAGAATTTAGCAGGAATGATTAAGTAATAGAACTGAGAGCAATTGGGTAGTAAGAGATAAAAGCAATGATTGACAGACCGATCCCTGTGTTTATCTTTCTCAGTTTTGTATGTCTTCATTACTTAATCTGCTTTGTCTCCTTTTCTGCCAATGAAAAATGAAACATGAACATTAAATGTGGGAACATTTCTCTTGCACAAAATGCATATTTCTGTGCATTCTGTGCTAAGATCTGCACCTGGTATTACACACCACACTTTCGGCCTTGTGGGATACAAAATGACAATCTAAAACCCCAGTATATGAGGCTTCCCCTTTTTTATCACAGTTCCCTCTCTCCCCACATATTTAGCCACAGTGAATGATACAGGGGCCATGCACAAAACCAGTTTAGATTATTAGCTGCTGAGAAAAGATTTATTTCTTCCATGGTTTCCTACTGTTGAAAACCTACCATTACAGAACTTGCAACAGAAGTTTAGCTCTTATCCCATTAGCACAGTGTTATGCTAGTTCACTTGAATTATTGTTCCTTCCAAAAGAACAATCCTTAAATGTTAAGATGTATTCTTTTGCTCTTTTCATTACTATTGTGTATGCTCACTTCCTTGCTGTACTTCCTAATTTCGGTAATTCACCAGGTGGATTCCATGTCATTAGTGCAAATTAGCAAAGTTCTGCTGTATTTCCCTTTGGTTCCATCTCCTGTAACTTTAATCTCAGCTTCATACAAGTTAGCGAGATGAAAATTGAATTGTGCGGAGTCCCTAAGGCTTATTAATACTGTACAACATCTAAAGAGCATTAAAGCCTATTGTGTTTTGGGAGTCCACTGTGGTCCTCAAAAATTGATGAATCCCTTTTTGGGGTCATATTATTATAGTAGATACAACATCTTTACAGGAGCAATTTTCTTGTTCATAGCAACCACTTTGATTCCTGGAATAGGCAACATAAAAGCTCTGAAGCTTTCTTAATACTTTAGATGAAAGTGTATAGGTAAAGTGGTTTTCTGTGCCAACTCTGAGGGCACTTCCAAACAAGGTCCAAAATGTGGGCCCTCCTGGAATTTTACCGAAGGTCTGCAAATGATGACTCTGGTAAAAGAGGATTAATTTGGGACAAGGCAGGTAAACCCTGATTTGTCCTGAATTAATGTGATACCCCATTAGATCTGGGCCTTCCTGAAAGACCCAGATCTAATGAGGTATGTTCCCAGAGGGCAGTCCCCATAGACCATCTTGGTTCTTCAGGCCTTATGAGCTCAGATAACAGAGGAGGGCACCCACCCCCTACCCAACCCCCTCCCCCGAAGCCTTAAAAATAACAAAAACTTAACAGGCCACTATGATATCTCTCTGGAGGCCTCCTGGCATGTAGAATGGTGTGCCAGAAGACAGCCCCATGCCATCATGGTAACTACTGTGATTGTTATAGAGCCACCCCACCCCCAAGCCTTAAAATTAAAAAAGTAATGGGCCACCATGACACCCAACTGGGAAAGCTCAGTTCTTCTGGATACTCATGGGACAAAAAGCCACACCAAAGTGGTTATTTAAAATCTGCTTTGTCATGGGTTTTCCTCATGTCTGGAAGCACCCTGACTCTTATTTCAAGATCCCAATGAAATGAATTGATATAGCGCTAGAGCATAAATGTTTGGCCCTAATTTTGGTATTATTTTAAATCTCTAATTGCAATAGGTGGGATGGGGCAGCTGTTGTAAGTCAGAACCTTTGGAAGACCAGATGGCCTCCTCTCATTTAATGTCAAGTTTTTATGTACTCACACTTCACCAAGCCAGATTCCTTTAATTACCTTAACTGTTCAGATCAGATCCAGAACCACACGAGAAACAGTGAATCAAACCAAAATGCTGAGTTTCTTTTCAAATGTGGAGTTGTGAAAGATGTCTCTGACTTATAAGCATCCAGAGCCAACCCTTCTATTAGAGAGAATTAGGACCCTAAAATGTGGGCTGGTAAACAGATTAATTTGAGGCATCTAGATGACATTTCAGGGTAATCCACTTCAACCAGAAGTAAATGGGGTTTTTTGGTTTAATCTAGGTTGAAAAAAATACTTCAAAAGATCCAGGTCTTCCCTGAGGGTCCAAATCTTTGAAGGTATGGGGCCTGTGGAAAAGACACTGGGATCACCTTCCATGATCCCAGTGTCTGTTTCGACAGCCATTCCTCTTTCCCGGGCTCAGGCAGCCTGGTGAAGAGGTATGGCACTGCCAGTCTCTCTTCTCTACCCTCCATTTTTCCCTCCATTTATGAGAGAGAGCTTCAGACAGAAGCCTGGATGCTCCCCTTTTCTCCCTCATCTCTCAAACAGCCCACAGAGGGCTTTGGAGGAGGCATCCTCTCTCCCCTTTCCAAAGCCTTCTCTTGGCTCTTCCAAAAGAGGAGAGGAAAAAAGGATTTGAGACCTCTGTCAGATTTTTCCTCTCATAAGTGAAGGAGGAAATGGAGGACAAAGATGGGAGGTTGGAAGTGCTCATACTGATCTCAGAGCAGCATGGCAGGGAATGTAGCCCTCCCGCCTTGCAAAATTCCCAGTTTTGGGTTTGTTGTGTTGCCTAAATCTGAGAAGAACTGGCATTCAATGCAGGTTACTCTCAGGATTTTTGGCCTGTCTCGAAAGGCCCTGGAACAGATGCCACAAGCAACAGTTGCTTGGCGGCATAGCCAAACTTGATATGCCATGTTATGGCCCATCAGTTAGTTCACTGATCTTAAGTGCTATGAGGATTCTGTGCTCATCTATATATCATCACCTAAATATAGGGCCAGGCTGCTTCTTTGGAGTTCGGATGAGGTGTTTATATGCTCCACTCCTGAATCACATCAGTGGTGGAAATAGAATCCAGTTTGGACCCAGTTTGACCCCACTGGTCACCCTTACCTTTGCTGTTGTTTGTCACTGTAGCTGCAGCCCTATGACAAGAGAAAGGAGGAGGCAATGGCACTGGACCATGTAAAAAAACTGGATCAGTTTGAATTAGAAGTATTCCAGAATACTTATGAGTGTTTTCCTTCTATCTGGGCCCTAACTCTTTTTGAAAGCCAAACAGTTCAGAAGTGCTTAGCACTATGAAGATCTAGATCTGTCAAAGGGTTATTAACTTCAGTACTTACAAGGTTACCAGAACTTTTAGTAGGGGAATTCAGTACTTCCTTGTTGTTGTTTTGCATTTCTTGTTTCCCTAAGCCTAGACTTCATTTTCATAATGTCAAAGATTTTTTTCTGAAATGTTGTTTAGATATAAATGTTTTTTTTCTTTGAAGAATCTAATGAAAGGGCCACCCGCATATGTAAAGCGAAACAACAACAACAGCAACAGCTATTGAAAATGGTAATGAAAAGGAATACAAAATGCAAATGTTTCTTCTTCCCTATAGGTGTTATTACAGCAGTGGTTATTGTCTTAATTTGCCTCTTGGTGGTGATGCTGAGATATATGTATCGGCACAAGGGCACCTACCACACCAACGAAGCAAAGGGAACTGAGTTTGCTGAAAGCGCAGATGCTGCTTTGAAAAATGACCCTACCCTTCAAGATGCCATGGATGAGAGCCGGAAAGAATACTTCATCTGAGAGCAAAGGCAGCCCCATAGAGACATTCTTAGTCATTCTTTCCCTCCCAAGGGAATCGATCGGATGTTACATCAAAAAGCACTGGGGATGTGGAGATTGCACAGAAGAAAACAAGGGGACTAATTGAAATATTGATGTTTGTCCCCAAGAGGAACTAAACACCAGATCTGTTGCGGTTTATTTGATTAGTAGCACAGCTCAGTTCAATATCAGATCAGGAAAAACAAAAATCTTAGGATGAATGAGTGAATAACTGATAGCAGATAATAGCATCAAATGTCAAACCTTGACATTTAGCAAACATAGCAGGTGCCGATGGAAAGCTTCATCATAGACTCCTTGAGACGTCCTGCACTATACCTGAAAATGAATGTTAAGTGGCAATAAACAAAGTGGTAAGATGCATAAAGCAGGGAAGATCCTGACTCCAAAACTATTTTTGTAGTGTAAACACTTTGTTTTTCCTTAACATATATAAGATTGTTAAGCTTGAATATATATGATGTAGAGGGGTTGCTGTTTTGGTTTTGGGGTTTTTTGCTTAGATAATGTCCTGATGTTTAAAGCAAGAAGAAAAGCCAAGAAAACACTGCAAAAATGCTGAAGAATGTTTTAAGTGAAATTTTTTTATAGCTGGATATTTCACATCATATGAAAGACTCCTGCTCTGCATAGAAGCAAAATTCGTTTCTTTAGGGCATGTATTGACACTTTGTTTTTGTTTCTTGAACATACAGTTTTTCCCACTACTCTTCCTAAATTTTACAGCTTCCTATTTTTTCTTGTTACAGAAGCTTGATTATCAGCATAATCACAAATTATAATGGCTGCTTATGTTTGCAGAAACAATTGTGCCACTTGGATAACCTGCAGGATAACCTGCAGAAAGATGGAACTGTAGAAACCAAAGAAAAAGCACATAGTTTGTGCTTATTGTAGGAGCCCTTTCTGTTCCTTCTATTTTGGCCTGAAGGTGGGTATGTTTTAGGCACAGTGCCTAAATTAATTGGTTTGGTCTGTTCTTAAAGCCAGAACAGACCAAACCAATTAATGACTTATATGTTTTTATAGACTGGTTCTCAGCTAGTCTGGCCCAAGACATTTTGTGGCCTAAAGCATGGGGCACATGGGGCTCCCCTCTATTACAATACAGCCAAACTGACAGTTGAATCTCAATTTATTTGGCGACAAGTCAATGTGGCTAAAGGGTTCAGATCAGGACATGTGCCAAGCACACATCTCTTTAACAAAACCTTGCTACTGATGCTCACACCAACAAATATTGACTGAAGTAGCCACATTACTCTGTATAATATCATGACTGGATCTGTTTTCCATGTGTCCATGTTTGTGAATAAATGCTAGTAATTTGTCCCAGATCTTAGAAATAAGGGAGGTCAAGAAGCAATGCCCCTTATCTTCTGGGGGGTGTCAATTTTATCTACTATCTTTGGTGAATGCAGCTATTTCACGATCTTGCTAAAACTGAAAGCAATTTAGGGTTGGGGGCCATATGCTTCCTTTGGTCCCAATACACTTCAACTCACAATTTGAACAATGCTTTATTTAGGCTTGATCTAAACTGCCAAGTAATGGAGTTTAGTCCATTATTTGGTAGTGTAGCTGCAGCCTAAGTTGTCCTCATCCTCAAGTTCCCATACTTTATATACTTTATATACTTTCCCATGCTTTTAATGTATTTTTCATGGTCTTTAGCTGTCACAATAAACTCATTTAACTGAAATGTCTTAAGTCTTTGCTCACCTTAAAATTGTATGAGTTTACATTACTCCACCAGACACCATTTTTGAATGCTTCTTTGCTATGTCCAACTCCAACTCCAAATCTCTAACATGGCCATGGCTCAGTCACAAGAAGAATTTTATAGTTGTAGTAGATATTCTTGGTGATCCACTCCTAGTGCAAAAACGTGCCAGGTAACCAGGAAGCTCTGTGTGGCAAATTGTGCTTGATGTTTCAGCCAACAGTGTTCTTCAGGTGTTTTGAACAACATATATCACAGACTCTTACCACAATCCTTTTTGGTTAGCACTTATGAGAGTTGATGGTCAACATTTATGGAGAACCTCCCTATTTCCACATGGAATTAGGGTGACCAGACCTTCATGTTTCAACAGACATAGCAACAGTGATGTGGAAATAATAAAATGATCAAGGAATATCTACTCATTTGAATGGCCTCATTTCTTTTTAATTTAGTAAGGAAAACAATTTAGTAAGGAAAGCAAGACAATTGCAGTGGATGTGGAATACCTTTGAAGAATGGGGTGAAGGACAGTATGAAAGTGTATATTCTAGTCTAGTTATGATTGTACAAAGTGAAGACATTCAAATTCCACTTCCTTTGCTAAAAACAAATCACCTTGCACTCAAATTGTTCTGAATCATAAGCACATAGAAAATCCAACCCTACATTGGGTCTCCACACTTTATGTTTAGTGTGAACAAACCTTATATAATAATAAAACTTTATTTTTAAACCACCCTATCTCTCCAAAGGGACTTTATTTTCTGTGTATTCCCCCCATGCTCCAGTTTTGCTTCTAACAGTACTTTTGATGGCTGAACTAGACTTTGGGCTGTTTTGTTTAAATGTTATCCATGGATGTATGTTTATTTACAAGTGAGAAAAATATAATTCCACGTTGTTATTATATAAGCCAAATCAGACATCAACCATTGACACCAAATTTTCCATTACTCCACTGACCCATCGGAAAGCAAAAGTGTCACTACCCCAGTCATCCACGTGGATAATTTCAGATGTTGGAGGTTTTGGATTTCTGGTTAAGAGATGTTCCACCTGTTCTTTAAACACCGATACATTGTTCTAAGTCCTTTTGCTAGTCTGAACCATAGTAGATCCACTAAATCAATGGGATTTACCTCTGTATTGTCTCAACACACATCAGCTAATTGAGTAGGTTTACTCTAGTTGAGACATATCTTGCCATTGTGAGAAAGACCCATGTGTCTGCTCAAAGTGCTTCTAACTGTAGGTAACCAGTTTTCAGACCCTGCTCTTCTTCTTGTTGCTATATTTGGACCAGAATTGTACTGGATAGCTCTTCAGACACAGGTTCCTGCTAGTTTTTAGTTCTGAGGACTTCACCACTCTTTTTCAGTCCTGAGGATTAGAAGGGTTGATCTCAAGGTGAGAGCACTATTTGTCAGGCATGGTCTTTTTTGTTGAATACAACTCTCTGTGCATCTATGGTTTATATTTAATGTATGGTGCTTAATAATATCACCAGGGGCTGCTCTTTCTAGAATAGAAGAAGTATCATCAGGCTCATGGCTGTGACATCACAAAGGGCCATGCTCATACTCTCCAAGAGTCCTGATTTGCCAATTAATCCTCTGTTTCCCCACTTTTTCTGCTGCTTTTAAAAGGCTCCAGTTTCTTTTCCCTCCTCCTGCTTTCCCCGCTTTGAGGCCAGCTTACTTCATTTAATGGAAACAGAGTTAAAGGCAAAATTAATTCACATTCAACAGGGAGGAAAGAAGGTAGCAAAATCTTGCTCTTCCCAGTAGAGTCACATAAAAAGTGCTGCACATTCTCGTAGCTTTTATGCTCTTCTTCATTAATATCTTTTGCCATCTTAACCAAACTCTGATGGTTTTTGGCTACACATGTCCCAAGCTTCATGTGTGAAATTTTGGATAATTTGGTCATTCCTGATCTCAGGTTTTGGCACTGATGCATCAAGGTGTGTGTGGGATAGCCTAAGCCTGAAAACATTAAGAATGCAAGGATTTATGAGCACCTTAAATGTGGATCAGTAGTGAACTTCCGGTTTGGCGACAATGGCGGCTGGTTGGACTCTAGTGGAGCTCCGCTGAGTCAACCTCCAACTGAAGGCTAGCGGAGGCGACATAGCCTCCTATATCGGGCCGGATTGAAGGCCTGAGCAACGCAAAGCCTCCTAACTCCGATCCGACGGTCTCGAGAGCCGATCTCCCTCAAGGAGATCGGCCAGCAGACCCGGACGGGAGGAAGGCAGCGGCTAGTGGGGAGGTATTCCGTCCAGGGATCTGGATCCGGGAACGACAGCTGACCGAGCGCCAAAACTTTTAAGGACGTGGAGAAGAATGCTAAAGGTGAGCGGAATCAATAGCAATAGTAACAACAAGTAACCCCCGGGATATGTTATAAAGTCAGAAGGAAGGAAAGGCAGGAAAAAGCTAGAAAGGCTTGAAAACCGAACAGAAAGAGACGGCATAAGAGCGATTTGAAGAGAGTGAAAGAGGAGCCTGGGGTGAAAGAGTTACAAAAGGTTAAAAGTTAACAAGTTAACAAGATAAAGGTAAAGCTAACAAGATAAAGGCAAACAAGGCAAAGAAGGCAGCCGGAACAAGGCGAGCCAGAGTAAGGAGCAAAGCAAAGCAAGCTAAAAGCTAAAAGGTGATAGAGGCGAGAGAAAAAAGCCAGGAACGAAAGAATCAGAGAATAAGAGAGCAAAAGGGTAAGAACCAGGAGAATAAGAAAAAAAAGCACATTGCGCGACTCAGGGCGCAAAACAAGGCGAAACAGGAAGGAAAAAGCTGAGCGCGCAGGGAAAGGGGTTAAGGATTTGAACAGAAAGTAATCAAACCTTGCCTACCTGCCATATTGTCCTTGAAAACGCCATCCCCTCTAAGGCACCTCGCATTGCTGGCCTCTGAAATCAGGGAGTCATGAGGCGCGCTCCTCCCGAAGCAACAAGACCGCGGCGGAAGATAGAGCTACTCAAAGTAACCCGGGAGGGAGAAGGCGGAAGTGGGACACCACGAGGCGCGCTCCCCCCAGAACAAGCCTAATCCACGCGGTCCCAGGAAGGAGAAGGCGGAAGTGACATCAAAGGGAGGCGGAAAGCAAGGAAAGAGAGGAAAGCCTAGAGAGGGAGGAAGTGAATTAACTAGCGGAGAATCAACAGAGAGCGAAAAAGTAAACCAACTATAGAGCCACTAAGACAGGAAAGCATAGAACCAGGAAGAACCAGGAAGAAGTAAGTACTGGTGAAACTCAAGGATACTAAAGGAAACTATAGAGCTAGTAACTCTAAGAAGTAAAAGAAATAAAGAATAAAATAGACACACGAAAGTAATAAAAGAATATAGAAATAAGAAACGAACGAAGAACCCAGCAATAAAAAACAAAGACTCACAGAAATAAAGAAATAAAGCAAGACAAATTAAACAAAAATTTACTGAAGAAATTTAAAAAAAA